TCCAGTTCTTCAAAAAAACCTCTGCTTTATCTAGTAGGCATCCTTCAGTCTCAAGAGACAGAAAAAAAATCAGTCTACACAATCCAGTTCTTCAAAAAACCCTCTGCTTTATACATGTATGATATTGTACTTCTTTGATGTGGGATATTGTGCTTCAATGTGGAATATTATGCTTCAATGTTGTCCCTGCACTGCCAGCAGGAAAAAGGATGCCAAACTTTACATAGCAAAGAGCAGCCTGAATGTTGATCATATCAGTGTCAGCAGTCAAGATGATTTATAGGTTACCCTCTTCTGCTCACTAACATTCACAAAGTGACACTACGCATGGGAAAATCCCAGAAGCTGACCTTTTTCATCAATTCACCACTTCTCACCCAAATGCAAAGAAATTGTTGGGACTGTTTTTCATCAAGTGTGAATGGTAGTGAGCAGAAGAGGGTATCCTGTGGACCAGGGGGTCTCCAAATCTTTCACACGGAGGGCCACATAATATTTTTGTGATATTTGCAAGGGCCAAAGGAACACGTGTAGGTGCACATGTATGCACTCCTGCCCGCCCACACACTTGCATGCAGGCACTCCTACCCAGCTGCCCACACACACTCACACCTGCCCGCCTGCACGGATGGATGGATGGGCCAGATAAAAAGGCCAGGTGGGCCAGATGTGGCCCACATGACATACTTTCATGACCCCTGCTCTAGACTTTTCCAGGCACCAATAATATCGATACAGTTCCTGCACAAAATGTCATCTTTCTTACATAGGATTCTCAGGAAGAAGGCTTGAGTCACAAAATATGGCAATTTCTTGTGCAAAAGAACACATGGGATGGGGAGAATATGTAAGGTCTCAGTTTGATAGGAAGCCTCGAAATCTTGCTAGTGCAAGCAGACACATTGTTGAGCTTCTCTTCTTGGGATAAATAATTCCTGTTGTTTTGTTTTGTTTTATTTTGACAACTTAACAAGGCAAAGCCTCATGTTGGAAGCTGGCAGTTGAGGTAGCAAAACCCGTTTCTTGTTGCCTATTAATGCAGTTCTTTGAACAGTGCCACCTGCAGGGCTGTAAACAGAACTGCAAACAACTCGATTTAAGTGTGGCCACCTAAATTGACTTCACAGGAAGTGAATTTGCATTTCCATCACTATATTGTCACACTCTCAAATAGCTCTCACAACATGCAGCTCTGAGGTCAGCGTCTGGCCAATATATGGTACTTCTGTGATTCAGCCCAAGTCTGATTTTGTTCAGTTTGATATCCTGATTTTTCCATCTTTTCAGAAATTATAGTATTTGCAGTCTTTCCATGCTTACAGTAGATTATTGCCACCTTCCTCTGTTCTCAACACATCCCGACTACTGCTGGTAGGCCCTCCAAGGCTTGTGTGAATCTATTTTGAAAGAATTGGGTCCAGATTTGGTAAACGTAGCCAATATATTCCAAATGGTGTGGTAAACGTTACAGAATTCAATGTGCCCAAATCCATTTTTGACACCACAGACAAAAATTAGTCATGCTTTTAAGTAACTCAACTGGCTCCAAATTTCAAACAGTCTTCATTTAGTGAATACTGTCTAGCTTAACACATCTTGGAATGCTCTCTGAATCCTTTCTGAGCTTCCCTTTCGTCCAGTATCCCCTTTCATCTGAACTGTGAGACACTCAATTGTCCTTTTCCAACACTGTATGTTCCAATATTGCCTAGAGGCCCAGCAGTGGTACTTCTTCTTGGTCATCAACAACCACAAAATCTATCCTGCCTTTCTTGTGTGTCTTGGGTTATCCACGCTGAGCTTGCATTTTCCCACTAGCATTGTTATAGGGTGGCTGACCATTCTTAAAACTTGATTAGTTCCTGCCAGATCCAGGTGGATACTGAGATTCACTAAGTAAATGGTGAATGTATTGCAAGTGGCACCCTACCCCCCTGCACATGGTCACATACAATTGTGTGATTTTGTGGATAAGAAGCCAAACCAGGGCTTAGGAAGCCAGCATTCAAATTCCCATTCAGATGTGGAAACTCAATTGGGGATGGGAATAATAAATAACTCCTTAAAACATCTCACATGCATCGAAAATCCTGTAAGTGGTGCTGTTAAGTCAGAAGGAGATTGATGGCACATAAACAGCTTACTGTGTCAGCCATTAACCACACATACATGAACATTCACTGTAACTTCCATTGCTTCTAGTATGCAACCTAATTTCAGACTTTTTCCTGTTTTATATATGAAGTGGTTAAACATTACAGTTATGGCATTTCTTCCCATAACCTGGATGTCTTTTGTCTTGCTTGCTTCCCCCACCAATTTAGAGTGTTCACAATGTCTAGTTGGCTTCCCTCAACAACCTCTATTTCACTTGAATTCTACTCTCTTACGTTGATTTCATACATCGTCTGATATCAAAGACCATCAAATAGCTTGAAAGTTGCAACTGCCAGCTAATAAACTGGTGTAATATTCTTAGTACCCAAATTGCTTAGTCCTGAATGAAAAGAAAAAAAACCTGTCTTTTCCCACTCTTCCATTATTCCTGGGATTGTAGTGGGCGTCAAGTAACCAACCACCATAGCCAGTGTATTCCGGGCTTGAGGAATATGAAACACATAATGTCTCACTGATTTTTTTTTTCTCTGTTCACTTGTCAAGTAAAAAGACAGTTGACAGTGAGTTTGTAAATTTACTATGCTGGTGATTTTTGGGCCTTGATTTCAGCAGTCTGTTCCTGTCTGATTTTTTGTCCTGATCTCACAGTTTGAGGGTGACATTCTAATTCGTTCAGTTATCAATGCTAGCATGATTCATGATTGTTGTTTAGTCGTGTCCCACCCTTTGTGACCATGGGCCCTCCCGTCTTCCACTGCCTCCCAGAGTTGGGTCAAATTCATGTTGGTAGCTTTTCTTATTTTCCCTTATTTTATTATCCCCCCCCATTTTATCATAATTGTAATGATTGAACGGTTATGTACTTTTCTGTGTTTTATTGTTTTGTCCTATATTGTAAGCCGCCTAGAGTGGACAAGTCGCCCAGATAGGCGGGGCATTAACAACAACAACAACAACAACAACAACAACAACAACAACAACAACTACAACAACAACAACAACAACAACAACAACAACAAATTTGATGACCCTGTCCGACCATATAGTCCCCTGTCGTCCCTTCTCCTCCTGCCTTCACACTTTTCAGTGTCTTTTCCAGGGAGTTAATTTCACACAATTTCATATTTTGAACAAACTTGATTTATATAAAACATATAACAGAGTTCTCTCTAGTTGTTCCCTCTACCATCTAAGCCTGAAACAATGGGTGATGATCCCAACTAATTCCTGTTTCTTCCCAAAAAACACAACCCATTCAGAATGTGTTTAGTGTCTCCTTATGTTGTTACATCCCAAGAGTCATCTGATGAATTTGCAAATAAGGAAGAAGGAAAAAAAGTGTTCAACAATAATAAACGAAAGAACACTGACTGTGGGGTTTCCTCTTATAAAATCTGCTGTACTAAAACCAGAAGTTTGTCAAAGCAAAGCAAAAGCAAAATGTGCTGCTTATATACTGCCCCAGAGTCCTTAAAGCACTATCCAGTTGGTTTATAATTTAGTTATGGAAGGATGGAAGGCTGAGTCAATCTCCAGGCAGCTTCCTGAGCTCATTGGGACCTGAACTCAGGTCATGAGAAGAGTCTTGACTGCAGTATTACAGTTAAACCACTGCACCAGAAGTCTGCTTCTCATCACAGTGGATTTTTTTTTTGAAAAATATGCAGGCAGGATGTCTTTATTTCTACACAGTAATATACTATTGGACTTCTTAAATGATTTAAGGACTAGGTTTTCCTTTCAATCTTTAAAATCACTTTCTAATGGGAAATTATTCTTCTTTAGGGCAGGGTTTCCCATGTAGAGCTTTTAATCAACAAGAATCAGAAAGGATTTCACTACTATCATTTGTCTAATTCCCTTGTCAGCACAATCATGTTCCCTTAAACAAATCTGTATTATAAGTATCCAGGGTTACAAGACAAATTTTTGTGGAGTGTTTACACAGAGGAATCCAGAGAGATCTAGGAAGAGGTTGGGTTCATACTGAAGAAAGCATTTTAAAAATTGATGGAGGAAAAACAGTCCCCATGTGTACACACACCAGCTTTATTTCTAAAGACAACCATAAAGAAAGCAAAATAACAGGTTCTCTGCAGAGCTAGTGTTCTGTAGGATCTATAAATCAGATTTTTAAAAAATAATTGTTTAATCTTAGCATTGCAATGAATGCTTAGAGAAATAAATGTTCCTGAAAGTTACTAATAATGCTACACTTACTGGCTTTGAAAAAAAAATAAACTAATTAAAGATTAATCCACAGAAGGCCTCTTTTTAAATAGAAAATAAAATGGAGACTATCTAAATCTGGACTAGTTACTTTGACTGTGAAAGATTATATATAAAGAAGACCTTTCCGGCTACATCTGGGTTAGCTTCTGTGTATTCCTATAAATGGTCCCATTTGGATCTAGATAGTCCCTTACATCTAAATATGTTTTCATTACAGTATATGGTTTGTGAATTAAAGCCATAAGGACTGACAATAGATCAAATACTGACTGCAAGAAAAATGATGACCCACATTTGGCTACTGCTCACTTTTGTTTTAACAATTAGGCTGAGATAAATATACATGATCTTTCCTTTTGTAGAAAAATGATGCTTTACTTTTTAAAAAAAAAAATCTGTGTTTTATAGTAGATCAAGATTACATGCTTCAAATTTATGGATACAAACTTACTGGCTATTTCCCATTTAGCCAAGAAAAAGAGCCCAAATGCGTTAATACCCCAAATAAGGTATAAATCTATGAGAGCATTTCCAATAGAGTTCTTGGAAATCTAACAATAGACTGCATTATTAACAGGGTTAATGGTTCTCTTCTTGATTCATTCATTTTTAGAAAAATGGTTTGATTCATCCATTATACTTTATTCCAGAATCTGCATTCTTGCCTGAAATTATCGTAAAATATAACAAGTTGATAATTGCTGATATGCATGATCAGCTGAAAATGGAGTGGTGGATAAAGCCTTAGCAAGCCGAAACAAAGGTACACTTTCCTTTGCTTTTTCTTCCATGATCCTGTAACATGATTTATCTTCTTCTTTTTCTCTCCTATGACCCTGAACATTTTCACTTGGTCAAAATTATCTGGGAACTGGAAACTTGTAAGATTTGACGAGCCATGTTTCTTATAACAAGACAGGGGAAACAGATGTCATGCAAATACTTAAAACTTGATACTTCCTCATGGTACTAAAACAAAAAAATTCAGGAAATCAGCCACAAAATATTATATATAAAAATGAAGTAAATATGGCTTGTATATATTAAATGAAACCTATACACAACCTAAAAAATATGGTGGCAGTTGAACTCTTGACGAATAACTTGAAGCAATTTCATGGCTGTAAGGATTAAACTGTATGGGCAACCTCAGGGGTTTGGGTGTCATACAGTGGATCCTTGACTTACAGAATTAATCCGTATTGGAACGGTGGCTGCAGGTCAAAAAGTCTGTAGGTCAAGTAATTTCATGGAGGATTAAACTGTGTGGGCAACCTCAGGGGTTTGGGTGTCATATATACCCACCGTCCACCTCAAGACTTGCCTGTTGTTGTTTCCTTAATATCAGTTGTGATATTTAAAATTTAAAAAAAAAGATAGATGGGAAGTTTGTATCTGTGCCCACTAATTCACAAAATTTCCCACCAGATTTATAATAATTAAAATTTATGGGCCAAAATGTTTTCTAGCGTAGAGGATCTCTTTCGTAACAAAAGCACTTTTTCATGTTTTTCTATAAGTTCATGTAGGTAGATTTCAAATGCCCTGCTAGGTACTGTGGAATTCCTGTACAGAATTTGTTGATCATTTGTGAAGCGAATGTTGGCGTCTATAAATGTGTGATCTGCTCCAGTATGGCCGTTCTCAGTTCTTGTGTTCTATGAAATAAAATATCCTTCAATGACAAGATAAGAACCTTAATAAGAATGCTTTTGATCATTCTTTTTGAAGGCTTTGTATAAAAGCTGGACGCAGTGTTTGTGCTCCACAAGAGCTCTTACACTCAAGGAACTCTCATCAGAATCCTTTACTCCTCAGACTCACAGAAAGAAAAAATGTCCTCACAAATCATAAAAGCTGATTGCCTGTCTCACTAAGGCAAGTAGAAGCCCAGTCCATGAAGGCTAAGGCGGAGAGAACAAGTCCAATGAAATGTAGCTATCTTAAAACATCTCACCAAAGTGCATGGGATTTCTTGAGTGAGAAAGTATTCCTTGCAATAGAACTATGGTGACAGGACAGGGATTTCTGGATTTCCCCCCTCAATGGGCAGCTATGATTTTTTTTTTAAAGGCAGGAGTCTTTTAAGAACCTCCTTGAATACTTTCTGAGAGTGAGAGTACATATGTTCACAAACAAGCTAATATCATTTTAGAATTTTAGACTTCTTTTGGAAGTCACGAATTCATACAGTTATGATAAGTTGGAAGTGGCTTGATAGACCATAGCACAAGAGGACATGTGAGAACAGCAAATAGCTTTCAACTACCAGGAGAGGTCATGTAAGTTGCACGGCCTTTGACTATGAACCTGTCAGTTCAGTACATTTTCAAATACAGTTGTAGTGCTATCTGGTCTATGACTGCATATTTCTTTCGCCACCCCTCCATGTCCATTCTGTTTAGTTTTACTCTTCCAGACTGAAACCAAAATTACAAATGTACAGCGAATACACATCTAATGACATATTTGCAAAATGTCAGCTATAACCAAAATGGTCTTTCTTGTGTGGGACAAAAGAGAAGAAAGAAGGCTAATTCAATGCTCGAGGTTACTCATCCTGTTTTTTGATCTGCTCTAATGTATAGAGGCATTTCTTCAAACACATAGATGCATGTGTCATGTCTATATTGACAAATACAAAATACAAATATTTTAATAACCTACCACCCACATTCAGGTTCAAGGACAGGATCTAATTTGTGTTTTGTTTTTAAAAATACATATTTTATTTCTTTTTTCTTTCACAAAATCAGTATATGTGTCTAAACTCTGTCACAGATACTTTACAATGTGACATATATAAGTACTCTTTTGAATACTGAATATTAAAAAGACTAGAAGGTCAGCAGCAGGATGACTAAAACATGATTGGGTGATGTTTGAACAAAACACAATTGTTTACATATTTATTCAGAAATAAGTCCTACTAAATTCAGTGGTGCTTGCTTCCAGGTAAGAGTGTATACGATTGCATATAAAAACAATGTTCACTGTAAAAAATCTTGAACTGAGTTTATTAGTCATTTTATTCCACCTCTTTAAACACAGATATTTAAAATAGTTAAAATTCATGTGCTACTTTTTGGAAAAAGACAGGGCACATGCTATAAATTAAGATGAAACATATCAATGAGAACACACACACACACACACACACACACACACACACACACATTTCCCAGTGGTGGCGGGTTGCACACACACACACACACACACACACACACACACACACACACACACACACATTTCCCAGTGGTGGTGGGTTACACTGTGTATTTGAGTTATGATTTTGTTTGTTATTTATGTTTTTGTTATATTTGTTATATTAAAATAAATAAAAATAAAATTTATATGCTACGTACCACTGTTTCATAGGAATATATGTTATATCTTTTTGTTTTTCAGGATTTAAAAAAAGATAAGAGGAAAAACACACAAACACACACAAGCCACAATACCTGTCTACAGTCCAATGTTGCTAGATAATAATAACCTTTAGAACACCGCAAATGTGCTCAGATCTGCTACAGCTACCCTCTGTCATTATAGTTCCTGCTATCTTTATCCCAGTGACTTCAGTTGTGTTTAAAGGTGCAAGGTCAACAAAAAGTCAACCACAGACACAAAGCCCAAACAAGCCCTACTATATAAATCCAGAGAGATTGTTAATGGAACATTTCAGACCTCATGGAAACGGCTCTGATGAAAAAAACTTTGAGGAAACACCATAAAACTCTGCCAAATGCTGAAAAAGCCGTTGCTAATATCTCTACCAGCTTGCCTTCAAATCAAGCTTTGACATCCATCGTGTCAGATCTTCCCACCCTTTTGCCAGAAGTAGTAGGTTTAAATTCTAGCACTAAATTAAACTCTGGGAAGAAGAGACCTGGGACTGTGATAGTGTCAAAACGATCAAGTAGTGGAGGCATGTCCCAGGATCAGTGGGATCGGCCGGTCATTCCCCCAAGAAGACCTGGCTTCAGGGTATGCTATATCTGTGGCAAGGAGTTTGGATCTCAGTCTCTTCCTATTCATGAGCCAAAATGCCTGGATAAGTGGCACATTGAAAATGACAAGTTACCTAGGCACCTCAGAAGACCAGCACCTACTAAACCTCAGGGCTTTCCTGGAGAATCTTATGATCTGACAGCTCAAAATGCAGCAGCAGCTCAGAGTTACCAAGCTCAGCTCCTGCCATGTCAAAATTGTGGACGTACTTTCCTTCCAGACCGACTCCCTGTTCACCAAAGAAGTTGTAAACCAAAGGCCAGTCCAGGTCCTTCAAACTCTAGTTCTACCAAATTGCTTAGATCCACAGGTTATAGGGCAGAATCTTCTGCACCAGACAAGGTAATGAGAAGGCAAAAGGCCCTGTTCTTTCTATAAACAAACACCAGAATGGCTCTCTTGCTCTTGAGATCAATGATAGAAAGCTTCACCATTGACTTCAGTCACGTTAAGAATTCATTTCAGAGAATATAGGTGGATGAGTAATCTTAAACAAACCTCAGATGCCCAAACTAGTTCTCATATTTTAATATGTGATCAATGAAAGTACATATCTGATAGCACATCATTTGTGTAAGACAAACATTGTAGTATTTCAATTTATAATCACCATAAATACTTAATTAACATGAACCAGAGAATTAAAATAAACCATATTAGAGATTTTTGTTTCAAAATGGCTATAGCTAAGAGAGAAATACCTGGCTAGACGGCTTAATGAGTTGAGCACTCGGCTGCTGAGCCAGAAGTTGGGTGTTCAATTCCACACTGCGCCTTCTGGAAGAAGAGCCAGTTTGTGTAGCTTTGGCCAGGCTGTATGGTCCCAGACTGACCTCAAAAGAAGCATGCATATTTGTTTGCTTGTCTGTCTGTTTAATATTATTTAAAATATTTTTAGCCCACCTTTCTCTTTAAAAGGACCCAAAGCAGCTATGTCCAGCAAACAATGAAAAGGGTTGCCATGAATCAGAACTCACTTAAGGGCACACAGTTGTTATTAACCGAGGAATGAAGTTTTAGGCCAGTGATTCAAAATACAGGACAAACTGTTGACACAGATTTTTCACTAAAACTCACTTCAGATCCAGAATGAAACAAAGAACACTTTGGGTTCCATTCATGGATAATCCCTACTTGAGATGGGACCCATACAAAGTTCTTCATGTGTTATGAACATCAGTTCGGTGAATGTGTATTAAAGCTGAGGAGGTGATGATTGGTTTCCTCTATGCAGGGCACCTTTAGCCTGCCTTGTGTTGTATGGGAATTTAGGGAAGTGTATTCCTCAGACACCCAATGTCAATTTTTAAAAGCCATAAATATCTGTTAAGCTTTAAATGCAGGTGTCCTCCAAAATTTACCACCAAAATACGTGATGGATAAGTCATTCACAGCTTCCTTTTCCTTACCAAGAACTCTCTGCATACTCTTTGGGTACAATCTTCACCTGCCTGAGGGTACAAAGTTACCTGATGGATCAATCCCCAGATAACTCAGTACAGTTCTGTTTCTTTTACCTACCAATCTAGCATGGTCCACACGGACATACAAAATACGTGCAATTGCCATGGGATATTATGGGCGATGTGTGCATGCTTTGTATATCTGCACTGGGTTTTTCCCAACTTTGAATTTCAGTGCATTCAGGATATAAGGAACTTCATGGGTAACCATTCATGATGGTGCAATGGCCTCCAAATGAGGGAAGGTACTGCATTTAGATTTTGTGTGTATGTGTAAAAATCTAAAGAAATCAAATTGTACTCAATGTTGGATCAGCTCCTTGTGAAAGGCTTACCTGAAAAGATGCAAGAGAGTTTGTGTGAATTCTCAGATGTGAAACTGGAGATGTTCTAATAAAAACAGATTATTTATTCAGGTTCTATGCCGAAGAATAGAAAACTGATAATGTAATGCCAGTTTCTGAACAGGATTCAGGAAGATCCTAAGGTGTGTAAATCTGTTTGTAAATTAATGGGCAGTCTTTTTTTTTTTAAAGGATCAAGCATATAAAAAGACCTTTCTTGCTGAAGAAGAATCAGTATAGTTTCTGCAAATAAGCCATATGGTATGCCAACAAGCATTTGGAGAGCAGTGCAAAATTACAATTGTATATTGTAATAATAATTACATTTCATCAAGTTCATTGCAACTTATGGCAACCTTTTCCAGGATTTTCTAGCTAGAGAATACCCAGAAGTCATTTACCATTCCCTTCTTCTGGAAGTGCTCTGAGATTGTGCAGATTGCTCAGAGAACTTAAATACATTAAGTCTCATAAGTCTTTCATTAAGATCTTCATGTTATATAGTTTGAATAGTATGTCATAGACATATCATTTATCATTGTAAAAGAACATGTTCAACATTCCATTCCCCCCCCCCAAATTTTTCTGGAAATAACAAAACAAAAATGGCTTTGGAAAAAAACTGGGAAAATGTGATGGTGTTTTTTTTTTTTTTTTCAATTTTTCCTTTTCCCCCCCAGGCCTTCCGATCTCTAAGCTTGCCTAAGGTTACACAAGCTGGTTATTTTCCTGAGATGCACAGTGAAGAATTGAACTCACAACTTCTGGCTGTACAGGCACTGAGCTATCCAGTCAGCTATAAACTTTAGCTGTTATATGTATTCATTTTTTTTCTATATTTCAAGTATGTTATACTATCTATCGCCATTTGATGTTTATTAGGCTTTCAAAGTTTGGAAAACTCAAACAAGAGTTTGAGGGCTTTCAGGAGGATATCTTGAACAGAAAAGCTAGGAGATACTTTAATCTATTTACATTTCTGGATTGTGTCAACAAGAATCTTCCTCAGCATTTTTTCCCCGAAGACTTGCATTTTTCTGTTGCCTTTCTTTGAGCCACCTAATTAGACCAACATTTTCCTTAGCATTAGCTTGATATTATACATTTAGATCATTTCAGACCTGTTTAATTTAGGAATCAGGAAACCTTATGCTAGAAAACTCAAGTGAAGAATTGTGTCCACCCTCAGAAAACTAAAGTGTCCTGAACCTTTTGGACAAAATAGTTGCATTATCAGTGAAATCTACATTCATAGCTTAGAGAGGACTGATGATAAGGTACTTTGTTAACAAGTTGGATGTTTTTGTTTGAATCCATTTTGACATGAAGGTCAAAAGTTGGAAAGTTGAAGAGCTGGAAAGAAGGTTTGGGTTTACTTTCTTCCACAAATGGATCTACAAATAAAAAGAAAATGAAGCTTACTAATGAAGGATGACTAAGCCCAAGAATATCCTCACTGGGTGCACAAAAGCCCTGATTTATGTGTGGTCAAACACAGGAAGAGAAATTGCACAACATACTTTCATACCATGATGTTCTTGGGACCTCTGGTCTAGAGCAGTGGTTCTTAACCTTTTTGAAAGAAACGCCCCCTTGGGCCATTGATGAAGTTATCATTGCCCCCCTCCCCACGGCGATATTTATTTATTTATTTATTTATTTATTTATTTATTTATTTATTTATTTATTTATTTATTTATTTATTTATTCAAGAAAGACACTTAAATCCAATGACTCCTGAAAATAAAATTCAACAGCCAGCCAGCCACAACAGGACAACAAGAAAAGCCGGAAAAGCTGCCGAATTCCCACCCACCCAGGATGGACCCGAGCCAGCCCTGTCCCTAGAAACCCTGCCATGCCACCCCAAACTGACCTGTTTCTCTCCACGCTTCCCTTGCAACGGGTGGGAAAGTGGGCGGGAAGGCAGGACGGAAAAATGGGGCTCATCTCTTCCTCCCCACCCAGGTGCTACCCTTTCCTTCCACCAAATCCACACTCAGTGCTCCCCTAAGGGAGAAAGGCGAGATGTGGCAGGCAGAAAGAGCTGGATTGTCTGGTGGTAGCGGCACTGGATCCACTGCCAGCACTGTGGCTGCAGCCGCCTTCACAGGTTTGGCTCGCTCCAGCGCCCCCCTACCGCCCCCTTTTGTTCCGCCACCCCCATGCCGCCCCTTTTCATTCTACCGCCCCCTGAAAAATGAAATTGCCCCCTGGGGGGCATTATTGCCCACGTTAAGAACCACTGGTCTAGAGGAAGATCCAGAAACATTCCTCTTTGAAAACAGAGTCATCTCATTTTAACAGGGCCTAACTCTTGTAGCAGAACTCTAGAATCTTCCCACTGTATTTTCCCACTATCCCCTGTTTTCTTCTAAATTTCCCTCACTAAAACAGTCAATAAATAATAGTTAAATATATATACCACGGGGAAGCCTTCTTCACTTGCAAGTAAGCGTGTGAGGGACCCCTCTATACTGGGGCCACCACTTAGAGATAGCAAAAGATCAAACCTATCCCAACCAGCTTTGTGTCTTTAATCACTACCCCATAGGGGTGAAAAAGGAAGAAGAATCTCCATATGTGCTAATTGACCCCTGTTTCTTTAGCCATTGTCTAGGCAATCGTCAATTGTAAAGCTGAGAAGCAGGGAGGTTTGAAGTTCTCCTAATCACATGCAATGGGCCCTACCCAGATTTAGGACCCATGTTCTTCCTTGCAAGTAAAAGAAAAGAAATGTATTGTGTCCCGGCATGCTGTACATCTTGTTTAACATTCATTGTTTCCTGAGAACTAGAACAAGCCAGATTGTCTGTTATGGTTTAGTGGGCCAAAATAGTTGTTTTGTAATTGAGTTGGTAACAGAATATACGGCCTCATTTGGATTACCTAAATGTGATTGTATCTAAAGTAAACGAGCTAAGCCTAACTTTGGCTGAGCAGTTGAGTTTTGACATCACTCTTCCAAAATCCTGCTTTGGAATACGCTAGGGTATGGGAAAAGCTGTAAGCACTCTCCCACTTGATATTGTTAAAATCTCATTCTATTGTGTAAAGAAAGAGGGTGCTATTCTTCTAGAGGAAAGCATTTTGTTCAATTTCTTGTGTAAATTGCTATTAACAAGCACTGAATCTCTCCCCCCCCCAACTGATGTGTTGGGCAGGTTATGGTGAAAAATTAATTCATTTGGCTATACCTTGATTACCTGCTGCTGCCATATGCTGCTTTTTCCTTTTGCCTGGGTGCTAGCACAAATAAAATATTTATTTGAATTTTTATTATTTAATTTTATTATTTCCTCTGCCACTATGTAGGCAAGGTCCAAACCTTGTTCTACGGGCTCATTAGAAGCTGTGCTGGTAGGTTCTTATAATTCTTCTTCAACAGAGAGGAGAGATAAATTCCTTTTTGGTTTAAAACCTACAGTGCCTCCTCTTCTGAAATCCTTATTTGAATTTCATCTATATTTCAGTCTAAAAATAAAATTACTTCATTACAAAGAACAGGTTTTGCAATGATCCTGTCCAATATGTCTAGAAAAATATATGTCTAATTTTAAGGGAATGCTTGGCAGTCAGGATCCTGGAAAAGATGAATATGCTGTATTAAATAAGAATAAAGGAACTGAATTAGGCTTTGTAAAGTCTGCTGAAATAAAATACCCAGTAGTCAAAGTAAAACCTATCACATTATGACTGCAGTATGTTAGATACATTAAAGGAAGGATGTAGGATGAACATGATTTAATTAGAAAAACTCTGAATATGAGTGGAGAATACTTTTTTAAAATTTCAGTCGCAGCATATCATGAAATAACTAGGCTTTTGAATTTAGTTAAGTAAAGGCAATTTAATAATGTCTAAAATGAAAAGATGGATAAACTGCATAATCAGATAACTCTAACCAATTTGGTTGGTTTACTTGGTGACTGGTAGGGCATTTGATGTGGCATTCTTAAATTGTTTTAAAAAAGTAGAAATCAAAAACAGAAGTCTAGAGCATGCCTTGTTAAAAATCAAGTTGGAAAATTGTTTGAATGTCCATCTTGTGTAGTCCCAACCACAAATAATTTAGAATCATAATCTTTCCCAACCTGGCCTTTCCTCTAAAGGGTATTGAGGAAGAAAAATGGAAAGTTTTCTACCACAGTATAAAAATAGTTCATATAAATATCAACTTTATCAATTATTTTAATCTCCAAAATCTAAAACAGTGGTTCTTAACCTTGAGTTACTCAGGTGTTTTTGAACTGCAACTCCCAGAAACACAGCTGGTGGTGAAGCCTTCTGTGAGTTGCAGTCCAGAAACACCTGAGTAACCCAAGGTTAAGAACCACTGATCTAAAAGACAGGGACTAGAACTGGGAAGATAAATGGCTCAAGAGTTGTGTGAGAAAAATAGGAGAACAATTGGAAACTAGAGATGGGCACGAACTGCTGGTTCAGTGGTTCGTGCTGGTCCATTTACCAGCTGAACAGGCGTTTAGTGCTTCCCACCCTTGCCTCCTCCAGTAGGTGCCTACTCAGAGGCGGTGCCCCAGCTTCCTTGCCCTGCCTCCTCCAGGTGCTGCCTCTGAGTGGGTGCCCACCAGAAAAGGCAGGTCTGGGAAGTGCCAAACACTTGTTTGGCTGATTACTTCACCTGACATAAACCAACAAACCAGCGGTTTGTGCCCATCTCTAAAGGAAACCCATGTTTACCATATAAGTCTGTGATCATGTGTCTGTTATAACTGGAAATAATGGCCCGAACGCAAAGCGTAGTCCTAATTAGATTAGACCCATTGATCCAACGCCGTTTAGATAAAAGTAGACTCTCAAGTCAGCATTATTTTATATTTGGGACTACTAAATGGATTAGGGCCAGCATCTTCTACAAATACTCACCTGTATATGTGGAATGTGAAGACAGCTAGGAAAAGTTATGGATTCTGCATGATAAGAGATTATACATATCATCCACAATTACCTTGAATTATTAAAAGCAGGTTGATTTCTGAGTTTTACAGGGATTTCTTGCTGAGAAGCCCTCAGTAGGCCTTTCTCATCCTCGATGTTGAGGTTATGATGAGGCCTATTCAAGCACTATGCCTCAAACTGTAGACGTGATTAAAACACCATCCCCTCACATTTCCCCACCCAGAGGGCTCTCAGACCTTTTTATGAGAAACAGAGAAATCTGAAGTGAACATGATAAGGAGCTCTGATCATGCACACAAACGCACATCAGATATATTCATTTATTGAAAGACAATAGCCCAACAATTACAAACAACTGTAGTTATCCAACATGCATTCCTTCCGTGCCAACTTTACTCTGAAGCTTTCCTGAAACATCCAAAGTAGATTTCAGGAGCCAATCTATGCAAAAGCAGTCTTTGTGAATGTTTTCAACATTAACCAGATCCCAAAATAAACATGGTAACTAATTCTCTTCGGGGATTAGGAACAACTAGCCCAAAGATACATTCAAAACAAAGCATCTTTGAAATTGCTTCTAAACCCTCACTTTGTCCACAGGGTATCTCACTATAACAGCGTCTGCCATAGAATTTAAGCCAGTTATTTAGTTATCCACTGAATTTATATTCCTTTCAGTTAGTTCAAAGTGGTGGGCATGGCTCTCCTTCTCACTTTATTCCCACACCTGCAACCCTATGAGATGGGTCAGGTATTGTCCAAAGATCACCCAGAGAATTTCATAAATCGACACGGGACTAGAATCTGGATCTGCCAAGTCTCAGTCCAAAACTCATAAAACTCTAACTATCACACTGACTCGTGACTTTATGAAACCAAAAATCAATAATGCTATGGCATTTTGTTGTTCCCAGCCTGCAGTAATAAGGAAACCTCCAACCGTTATCTGTTACATTTGTGGCCGTGAGTATGGAACTCATTCAATAAGCATCCATGAACCACAATGTCTTAAAAAATGGCATATTGAGAATGATCAACTGCCAAAACATCTACGAAGACCTGTACCTGTGAAGCCAGCAGTTAGATCCATAGGAGGTAAGTATCTGGACATTGCCTATTGTCCATCTGTACAGTGCTGGTCACTAGATTGATCTCAATTAATCAATGTATAGATGGACTGTCTATGCTGCTTGCAGAGATAGCATAAAGATCCATTATCATGTTGTATACCATTTTACTTCACCTGATTAAAATAATGCCATTAAGCTTATTTGACAACTTCTCTATAGTCTTATTTGGAAACATGAATGGGATTTTGTATTTCTGAAGATATCCTCATATTGGTCAGATCTGCACAATTTGAACAGCAAATAAATGACAATTAGACTCACAAGATTCACAAGGATGGCAATGACAAGAGGAGGTTGGGCATATTACTGCTGGAAATGTTTTGTACTGAAGTTGTTCCACTGCATGAATGGCAGGGTTTGGCAGTAACAGACGACATGTAAAAACATTATCTCTGAAACATTACTTTTGGGGGCAATTACTTGTATATTGGGGTCATTTTGAATTTTGGGGTCATTCAGGGGTTTATGGTCATTTTCATTTTTTTAGTATACTGTATTTTGGGGGGGGAAAGTTGAAAGCAGCACATCTGCCATGTGTTAAATACTAAGGAGTCATTCCTTGAATAGCAAGAAAAACATAATATCAATGAGTTTTAAAAATTAAGGCATAGGAAAATCTTTTCCCCCCCCAAATGTCATATCAAAATCTGATTAATGGAACCTATAGGTAACTGGCTGGCTTTGACATGCTTAGAGCAAGCAAACAGAAAGTTTGTTACCAGATTCCATGACAGTTGAGCAGGCTTCTGCTCTCACTCTGTCTTTCTACAAAGAATTCAACTGTCCATTATGCCATAGGCACATGTACAGTAACATTAGCCCAACAGTTTCTTCTCTGCTTCAAAGAACTCACCCATGTGAATTTTTATGGCAGTGGGGAGGCTGCGGGGGTCAGTCTTGCCATCGGTGTCCTCTGCCAGTGCTTCATCTATCCCCAGCAATTTTCTGGTACTGTACCTTGCAGGCAGGGATCTAGAACTCTGACCTATAAGTGAAAAGGAAAGCAACAGGGACAGACTTTCAGAGGAAAAGTGGCTGGTGACAGGTTAAGCATCCACCTCTCCCTTCCAATTTTCCACCCCAAATCACCCTTCCCAATGGTATTTTGTAATGGAGAAAGATCCGGTTGCCCCTGAATATTCAAAGTATATAGCATATACATTCATTTCCTGCAAATGAGAATATTTGCATCAGCCAAAAAAAAGAAGCATAGTTGTCTACTTGTCTAGTGAAAAGGAATATTAGGAACAGACAGATTAAGAGGTCTAAGGCTCATTCTCCTACAACACATTGGATATGAATCATGTTACAAACGAATGGACTCTTATGGAAAGATCTATGTGTTGCCTGCTATATCAACAATGGACTTTCCCCCTTCTTTTTTCAAAGCGTTGGTTTAAAACAGACTTGCACTCAATATCTGCACATAAAATCTAGGTAATATGTCAAAGGTTAGTGCCTTTAAAATACCATATGTTCTGGCAAAGGCAAAGAGCTTGGTGTTTTGAATAAAGCTGCAGGTCTTGCTTGCCATGCACTGCCAAGCAGGATGATGACCAGTAGGTGCTGCCAGTAGGAGCTTATTCACTTGTTAAACAACCTCAGCTAAAGGTAACTCTGTGGAAGGCAAGAGGATTTAAAGCCCATTTTAAGTCAAAAAAGGGAACAAGGGGTTGGATGCAAATTATACTATTTAAAATGCACTCCAGCTGCCTCAGCCTCCAGGCTTAATTACAGGCAGTTCCATTTGAAATAGCTGGGAAGAATAAGAAAATGGACTTAAATTGAGTCTTCCTGACTTTGCCCATTGGGTCTTTGAATTAACCTTGCTCTAAAGCACACCAAACCTATTTAAAGGGGGGGGGAGACACCACACACACACACACCTAAATTGGAATGAAATTGGAACCTGTAACCAAGAACAGCGGAGGGGTGTGTGGGGAGGAACAGAGCAAAGAGAGGAACAGGGTGTGCTCTTAGTCTCTTTGTCTCTTTGCTTGGATGCTATTGACTCATTTCGCAGGATTTGTGTGAAGGCCAAGTGGCGAAACAGGCTGATTTTGAAGTTTAGGCAAATATGTTAATAATTAGTTAAGAATGTGTAACATAGCACATGCTGAAATGTTTTCTCCATACATACAAGATGATTCAGTTTGTAGTTAACTTTATTTGACCCCTGAGACAATAAGCAGAGTTTTGGTGGTGGTGGGGGGGTTCGTCCCTCCAAAGGGCTATGATTTAGTTAGAAGTGAAAGGCTCAGTCAACAGGTATTTCCTGAAAATATTTTCCGTACAAGCCGAACATGGCTCTCCAGAATGAAAACTGATCTTCTCCCTTTTTAATTTTCCAGCAAAAGGTTACTATGATCTTGATGCTTTAAATGAGTCTGCCTGGCAAAGTGCCCAGAACCAGTTAGTTCCATGTGATATTTGTGGTCGTACCTTCCTGCCAGACAGACTGATCGTCCACCAGCGGTCATGTAAACCGAAGACACCTAAGGAAAATGCTCCTTCATTCAGTGGAAAGATTTAAAGGACAAAACCTCTCTCTGACTTATAGAAGTTCCAGCACTGAAGAATCATGGCACTATATAGAATCACGTTTCAAACATGTCCTGTGTGAAGTTAGCAAGCTATTGATTGTATAGGTGAGACATTGAACATGTAGCTTCTAACAGTGTTTTGTGGTGATGGTATTATAAGGGGCCGTAAGTAGCTCGAATCTTTTCTGGATCCTCTGGAATAGACTATAGCCTCCAGGCTGTGTAAGATATACCATTTTTCCACTTTAGCCTTTTTTTGTGAAGAAATGATTATGACTTTTCATACCCAGGATTAGTAAATCATGTGCAAAAATACTTATTTTTATATATTTAAATTTCTTTTAAAAGACTTTTGTCTGCAGCTGGATAAGAACAATAAAGGCTTCAGCAGCCTTCTTTAGAAGTGAGACTTTCGTGTGTTTGGAAGACTTAATCTCCTATCTTGCTTCTTAAATGCCAGCTCTTAGACCTGGGGTCATGGTCTAATAGTAAGACCCAATAAAGGAATTAACTTTCCAGAGATTGGCAATTTACTTTTTCAAAGTTAAGTTACTTTTCAAAAGGTGCTTTAGAATAATTGGATACAGTTACCATTCTGAGGTCCAAAGAAGTTGTTGCTTTTAAAGACAGCCTCTTAATGCTGTAAGGTAGGGGTGTCCAACCCTTCATCTTCCCTGGGCCACATTAGAAGATTAAAATTTTGGTTTGGGCCGCATTGGGGGGCAACCCTAGCCATCCTCCGCAGCCCCGCTCCAAGCGCGCTTACTGGCAGCTGCAATCTCAGACAGCAGAGGCTGCCAGCTTTGATTCCAGTGGCTTTATGGGGCCAGAAGGGGGTCCACCTATTGACGGGGACGGCACAATGCAGCCACACAGCCCCCCTCTCCCCTCCCCTCCTGCTCCTTCCTTCCTTCCCTCTCTCCCTCCCTACCATTATGATGTGCCCTGGCCACATTCCGGCCACAAGTGCCGGCAGTGTAACTTGAAACTTTGGAATTTCTTTAAAAATAAAAAAAATTGCACTGGGACACATTACGAGCTGACCTAGGCCGCATGCGGCCCTTGGGCCGCAGGTTGGACAAGCCTGCTGTAAGGCCTCTTGCCTCTGAAACAAAATACTGTATTCTTCTCCTGCCAGTCTCATAGTCACTTTAGCATCCATTGCAAGACATAAGGCAGCAGCATGAAGCCTAGCAGAAGCCAGCAACTAAACTATCATGTGGTAGTCCTCCCCCAATATTCAATAAAACCACAGTCTGTAACTGCAAAAGTAACTAAAAATTGCAGTTACACTGCAATGGGAATAAAGGTATCCCTTGTGAAGTTAGAATTGTAACATAATGTAATTATATTACCAACATAAGAAAAAAAATTACTTAAAGGTAACTAGTTAGTTGTAACAAGGCATTTCTAAGCTCTGCAACTTCTCTTCCAAATCCTGTTGCAAGACTTAACATTTCAACTTTAGGTACTAGTTTTACCATTTGATCTAATCACCAGTCTTTTCAATTTTTCACAACTCCCTTTATTTCCCCTTGATGGGTTGATCTCAGAAACATCTAAATCACACACTTTGTGTCTTCCCCAATCCATGGGATCATCCAAATCCTAGCCTGTTCTTGGCCACCTCCCTATTACAATATTTCACATTTTAGTTACAGTTGCCAGAATCTTGAAGACAGGAGGGCCTGGCGTGCTCTGGTCCATGGGGTCACGAAGAGTCAGACACAACTAACAACAACAACAGCCAGAATCTTACTGGTATTCATATGATGTTTGCATATTTTGTTCTAATTCATGATGTGTAAATGATGATTCCAAGTCCCATCCTTGATGGAGACTGTAGTCAAAGGCATCAAAATCCACTGAGAGGTCCAGCAGAACCAATACAGAAATACTCCTCTTGTCCAGTTCACCAAGGCAACTACAGTGGTCTCCATTTCATGACCAGGCCCAAAGATGGATTAAAATGGATCAAGATAATCTATCTCTTTCAGGAACCCCCAGAGCTGAGAAGTCAGGACACACTCCAACACTCTATCCAAAAATGGAACACAGAAGATGGTTTGATCATTGTCCAGCATAGTGGGTTTCAAAGAGAGGCTTTTCATTAGCAGTCTCACTGTTGCCTACTTTTGGCATGCTGGAACCCTACTTTACTGTATGCAGGCACTCAGCACACCTTTTGCCCATTTGTCCAACCCCCACTGTCTGCTTTCATGAGCCAGGAAGGCCAAGATCCCTCACACATATAGTGGCATTCACCTGTACAAGGATCCTGTTAAAATCTATGGGCTGCAAATAATAAATAGCATCCATGAACACATGACAGGAAGGGCTAAATTTACATCCACAGGGGCTTTATCATCTAGAGTATTGAAGTCAGAGTGGATCTGAGCAACTTTGTCTGCAAAGTGCTGTACAAATTCATCACAGTGGGCTGTCAAATGGTCAGCATCCTGTTCTTGTTCTGGAGCGGATGCTTAGGAGTGATTATGTCTCCAGTCTTGGCTGTTTCCCCATTCCAAACATCAACCAGGACTTCAGCAGGATCACATGCTGAAACAACAGAAAACTCCCCAAGAGACCTCAGGAAACCATATACAGTAGATCCACCAGCCTCCAAAGTTGGAAATTTATAATTGGACCTCCACCCCTGTGAGGGATTTGATTTCCATTGAGTCTAAACCCCATCAAGTACTGTACTGATCTGTCCAACACAGTAGAACCGTCAAAAATTCCTTCACACCCAAATCGACCTCATTCTGCCCACCACATGGTGTGCCTTACTAAATTATTGGGGCCAGATACCTCTTGAGACAGAACCGTGGTTGCCCTGTAGGATAAGAAGTCCTGAGCTGTTCACAGGAAGGTGGCTTCAGCATGGTTTGTGAGGTTCCTTGGAACAAGAAGTCAGCATCGCTCCCCGAGACCAACCCAGCCAGCTCAGGAAGGAGACTGTTGATCAACAAGTGGGACTATATGCCAACAGAATCTCTGTTCTGCTCCAGGTACCAACTTCCATGGATGCATAGTTAAATCTAGAAGACTGTGTTACAGGACACCTAGTGAAGAGAAGGGCATCCTAACAGACCACCGTAACTCCACCTCCTCCACTCTTAGATCTACTTAATGCAGACCTCATGAGTCAGCATGCTCATCCAGGATGGTTGGTGTTTTTCCTTTCACTGATCTGCCATTCAGGAGCCATACTTTCAACCAGGAAGACTGTCACCAAGACAATCCAGGGTGCCTGAGTTTGGAAATGATTTGGTATAACCAAAACCATGTTTCTTCCTCCTCCCTCATGATACCATACCTGTCTTCCTACACTCTATCTCCCTGTCCCATCTATAATTTCAATGGCTGATGGCTGATCCTTTCTCCCACCACCCCTCTCTTTTTTTGACAATGCATTTATCCCAACAACAACAAATCAGATGGTCAAATGAGCCACAAGTAAACACTTTTTATTCCCTCTCCTCCAAGCAGGAATCCAGGCCCTCACCATCACATTTCTCCACAGTGGCTTTCCAAAGGAGTACTTGCGCCTGGTGTCACCTTTTTCAGTGGCAAGCCCACCAGTGGCAGTCCCACCCCTACCTTATATTCCCCCAACACCAAACAATGCTGCATGCTGGGGAAAAGAGTGAACTGGGACTTCCTGGCTGGCAAAAGCTGAGTCACACCTCCTAGTTTTGAGATTCCAGGAAGCAGCAGCAAAGCAAGCTGGTAAGTTTTGCCTGGCAGATGTTCCTCTGGAGCAGCTTCTTAGCAGGATATGCTGGCTTTAGTGAAAATATACATTCACAGCTCTCATATTCTGGAGAATAATGTTGCCTTAAATTCACTCAGGGCTATACACTGGCCACATTACAGCATTTTAAAAAGAAATATGACTTCTAGCAGTACATTCCTTATGTCTGGAATCTTGTTGTGCTGAAGTTCCAGGGTAGCAGAGGTGGTTTCTTAGATTTCAGTTTTAAGAAACTAATATCCAGTCTATAGTTGTAGAGAAAGGCTATAGACTGTAGTATATGATGTTCTGTCTAGTAATTGAAGAAAAGTGAATATTTTAAGCTCTTATGTTCTCCAAATCTTAATTTTCTGCATGCCGACCTCCAATCTCCATACATTTCCTCTTAATACTCTCCCCATTGCCTCTAGACCTCTGTGCTTGATAAATGCACACCCCAATGTTTAAAGCTAACAATTACTAACAGACACAAATTTGCTAGTTCCTTGGTCTTACAATACAAAACTCAGGTCTTTAGAATTCCTTTCTAATCACACAGTTATTAATTTGTGTGTTTTTTTTAAAAAAAGACGTTTTGCCAGGAAAAGTCTTGAATTGGCAACATAGATTTTTTTTAGCACAGCAGTGGAATATTTTGAGGTTGAGAACACAGACCCTTGGCAAGAGGAATATGCTGTGTCCATCAGAGAACAACCTTGAAGAAAGGCCAATAAAAAGCATAGTGTCTCATCCAATGGTAGCCAGGGAAAAGGAGAGTGATGGATTGATCTTGTTCTCTTGTTCCTCCATCACCACCCCACAAATCTGTTTGGGGCATATTTAGGGCATGCTGGAAAAAGATTTGGAAAGTGTAGGGACAAGAGGAGGTAGGAGACAAGTGTGAAATGTTTGCTGCCACATTTCCGGATGTTGCTCATCTCCACTATTAAGGAAACCACTATCATTTATGTTTAAGAATATAATGACTGCTTTCTCCTCAGAGCAGTTCAAATCCAGCGAACTTTAATAAAAGGGTTAAAAGTCTGGTATGGTTTAACAGACTGGCAAAAACTAGAAAATACTTGCAGAAAGTGTTTTATTAAGTGGTTGCCGAAGTTATTCGGAAATCTGTGCTGAAACCCAATCTACAGTGTTGAAGAATGTTGTGAACTGTGGGAAGGAACTGATGCTTGTCTGAGTTTTCACCTGGAAGTCACGAAGCTGGCTGTGTGTATTTTATGACAAATGTGACTGTTGTGAGAAGATTGTCACCAGCAACTCAGCTTCCAGATGAAGTGTGCTGGAGGTCTCAGCTTGTTTCTCCTTGCCAAGCTATCTTCTTTCACAGTTTGCCTTGTAACAAAAACAAAAAATCGTATCACAGGTTATGAAGTGAAATTACAATCCCTGGACCCAGAGGGAAGTTCATTCAAATTCCATTTCGTGCCCATGTTTTTTGAGGAAAACCCTTTTCAGATCACTCAATGACACTTCAATCAGCCCTTTAATCTGAACAAAGAGGAAACATGTTCAATTTATTAAGTCAACAGGTCAGTTCCTGGCCTGAAGTTCTGCACCACATAAACCCAAACAGAATACTTTGATTACCAGGACTGTAGAAACCTCAAGCAGCAAAACAGCTCTTCTAAGATACAGAGCAGATTTGAACAAGACTAAAAATGAAACAAGAAGTACATGATTCTTTATGCTTTGAAC